CACAGGTGGACAGAACCTGAAAAATGACAACTGAAGCTGTCCTCTGGCCTCCACACACTTGCAAACATATGCCTTCACACCTGCAGATTACCTACCATTTCTATCCAAATTACCTATGAAGCAGAGGTTTACATAATTCCCTTTTGGGTTCAATTGTTAAAGTAACTTGTAGAAGTTCAGATATTGTCATAATACTCAGCAATCAGACACCAACACACACACACACAAAGAGAGAGAGAGAGAGACAGACAGACAGAGAAGTAACAGGTCAAAGAGCACACACAGCACACTAACATGTTAGTACATATAGCACACTAATGTACACTAATAGGTCTAAAAGCCCACGCAGAAGCTCGAGACTTACCAGAGCCCTTCCTCCATGGGTCTGGATTCCATTTTCTCTTCAACCTCAAAAGAATGCTGCTAACTCTGTTTAGGCCTTTCCACTGTGACTGTTCCACAAGCCAAAGCCTCAGCAGATAAACTGATGCCACACAGCCCATGTTAGGGTGGATATTCCCACTTCAATTAGTAAAATCAAGACAATCTAACCTCTCTTTTCTGAGAAGTCTTTATCTCCAGTGCCGACTCCATATTATTCATCCTTTGTCCCCATGAGTACCCTGGGTCATCCATGAATGGCTGTTGAATAAATGATAGGTTGCATAAATGTATGGATAGATGAATGAATAGGTGAGTGGGATGGTGGGTGGGAGGAAAAGGATGAAATTCTTCATAGCTAGTATAAATCTTTTCCTTATATGTACAAAGAATGCTGTCTATAATTTACTGTTTTGTAAATATTTCTATATCCAGCTTGCTTCCATCATCCAAGATTCTAGCCTAGGTTTCACATTTCAAGTGTTCCAGGAGCAAGAAAGTTATGACTTTTATGCATTCGGTTTCTTTTAAAAAGAACCATTTTCTCTTTTCAGAGCAGAAAGACCTTTTGTATTAACTATTCCATGCTTCAGAGAAAACAAGCACTGAGTGGCTCTAGGGACGAATGTCTGAGTATCTGTCCACTGTCATATCCATCCTTACCCAAAAAACAAAATCCACTTCATATAGACAATAAAGTTACGATATGCCTTGGAGTACCATCTCCAGCAGGTCCTAACTGAGCTGTACACAAATCAGAAGAGTGTAGTAAGAGCCATCAGAACTCCAACGTGCTAGAGAAGCAGCGGCCACCCGAGTGTGCTCTGCACACACACGGTGGGGGGGGGTGAAGCAGAAGGGCCAAGATCCCCCTCAACCCCCATAAGAGCATTCCAGGCCTCTGCTGGATGCAGCACAGGGAGATCCTCTCACATTCCTCCAAGCACAGCAGATCTCAGGCAGGGCTGCCTGGGTGGCTGCAGAGCTCATGCTGAGGGCAGGAAGAGCACATATTTGTTAGATGATAAAACAAACCACCATGGGGGCTCATCCAGCAGTGAACTCTTCTTTAAACCCGACACTCACTGCTCCCCAGAACTCTGCCAAAATGCCAGACTTGTTTTTTTTTTTTAAACCATCAATGAGTAACAACACCAAACAAAAATAAAGATAACAGTAAGCCCCCACGTACTGAGTACCTAAGTTTCCAAGACACATTCTGTGTGATACATTAAAAAAAAAAAAAAAAAAAAAAAAAAAAAAAACCTGTATACAGAAGAGAGAAAAACAAATGCAGTATAACCATTCCTATCCTAGTTTCATTTCTGTACTGTCATTAAAACAACCTGACAAAATCAACTTAAACTTGGATTACAGTTATCATTCATCATTGTAGAAAAGTCAAGGCAGGAATTCAAAGAAACTAGTTATGTCACATCCATGAGCAGAGAGGGGGTGAATGTATGCATGATTGGTGCTAAGCTGGACTTATCTATTCTTACACAGTACTGGTCCCCAAGTCTGAATGATGCTACCTGTGTCAATTAAGGAAAGCAAGACAGTCCCCTAAAGGTGTGTGTACAAGGCAACCTGATGAAGATAATTGCTCTTTGAGACTTGCTTCCTAGTTGATTCTAGGTTCTATCAAATTGACAATTAAACTAGCCATGACGATGCCAAAGTCCAGATTTCCCAGTCCACATAGGATCCCATTGGCCATGTTACCTGACATGTATCAATTTGTGCCAAGATAAGACCACAGTGAGATGCTCCAATGTCCAACACAGTCAGGAAACATAAAAGAACCAAAATGCCAAATATTTGGAAGATAAAAATACTATGCACATCTAATGGCAATGGAAACTGGTAGATTTTGGAAGACAATCTGATGTTATGCAATAAATTCCAGTGGCCTTGTCTGTATCTATAGCAACATCTCTGGGCTGGAATTACCCTAATAAACTCATTAATCAAAACAAGGTTGAAACTTAGGCTTTCTGCCCAGCCAATCCACTACCTCCAAAAATAACAATAGTGGGAATCCCCTTCCAAAAGCCTCTCCTGGGGCTGGGGAGATGGTTCAGTCAGTAAAGTGCTTGCCTTGCCATGCAAACATGAGGACCTGAGTTCGATACCCAGCACCAAGCTGGTGAGCCAACATTGGGTAAACAGAGCAGGAGGATCACTGGGACTTATCAGCCACTTTGTCTAATCAAATCTCCAGGTTCAGTGAGATTCACTGAGAAACCCTGTCTCAAAAGTGACTGAAGAAGACGCTCAGGGTTGAAATCCGCTCCCAATTCATATCTGCATGTGTGCATGAACACACACAGTATCAGGGAGGGAGGGATAGAGGGAGGGAGGGAGGGCTCCTTCACCCCTGTCTTTCACAAGTTGTTCAAATCTATACTCCTAATATCCTGTATGTGGGTGGAAGCTGGTGACACAGGTACATTCAGGATTGTGCCAGGCTTCTGTGGGTCCTGGAATCTAAATTCATAAATTCACAGCGTTTCAACTACCAAACAATTTCTCCAGCTCTAGCTCCTTGCACACCTTTCTGGTTATTTGCTTCTTATCTTTTTTCATTTTTTTTTTCTTGTAGAAAAGCAATACAGACATCATCAGGCATGTCCTGCCTCACAACCATCCAGCTCATCTAGATAGTGACCCTTTGACTTCCTTCTAGGATTTGGCCGGTCTTCCTGTCATCCAGCCTCTGGGACTGAATTAAAGCCCTGCACTGTCTCCGGGCCTGGCCACAGCGGCCTGCACTGTGGGGTTCTACCCCCTCAACACTCTCCAGCTTCGCTGCATACTATTCTATAGCACTTGCTCTGTGTGACAAAATGGCACTGTCTATCTGTACATCTCCAATAGTGTCTCTCCTCTCCTGCCCTAGTCAAGGTATCCCTTGGTCAGATCTCAGATTTAATGTTCAATGTCATCTCTACCTGCCGATGCCACCCTTCCAGCTGTCACTTGGAGAGTATTATTGTGTTGGGGTCTAGCATTGATATTACTGATGAGTTCTCGTGTAGGATGGTTAGTGTTAATTATCAACTTGACAGCATATACAGTCCCCCTGGAGATGGCCTTCTGAGTGTGTCTGTGTTAGAGTACCTAGGTTAGGTTAGTTTGAGGTATGGAAGATCCCCCCTAAATCTAGGCGGCATCCATTCTGGGGGCAGAGGTTCTGAGTTGCATAAGGAGAAAGTGAGCCTAGCACAGGCATCATGGCTCCCTGCTTCCGGACTGCTGACCAACTCACCCAGGGTCCTCATGCTCCAGCCACCAAGGCTTTCCCAGGAATGGACGGTGCCTTTGGCCTGTGGGTCATAATAAACTCTTTCTCCTCAAGTTGCTCTTGTCAGGGTGTCTTATCACAGCAATAGGAACAGAAACGAATGCAACCACAACTGTTTCTCATCACAGAATTAATACCAGTACGAAAGCCAGTGCTTAATTCTGGCAAGAAGCTCCAAGGCTGCCCCTGGTCATCTTGATTGAAACGTGAATGGCTATATCAACAGCTCTGAGCACATCAAAAGTCTTAGATATACTTGTAACCCTGATGTGTCAATGTCACAGGTGTGATGACAAATTCAGGAAAAATCTGAGGTGAAGGTACTTCAGTTCACATGGTGCATGTGTGTGTGGAAGTCAGAGGTCATCCTCAGTGGTTGTTCCTTAGGTACCATCTACCTTGATTTTTAAGACAGGGTGTCTCAGTATCCTGGAGCTCAGTGAGCAACCTAGGCTAGCTGACCAACCAACTCAAGGGATCTACCTGTCTCCACTTCAATGCTCAGGCTGTAAGTGTGTGCCACTGTGCATCTGGCTTCTTTATTGTTTAATTGATTAGGCTAGGCCTGTAAGGGAAGTATAGGCACCCCCCCCCCATTCTGCTTCCTGCCTGGTGATACAATTCGACCCGCTGCCTTAAGCTCCTGCTGCCACCATGCCTTCCCTGAAATGATAGACAGTACCTTCAAACCACAAACCAGGATAAACCTTATCTTATCATAGCAACTAGAAAAGTAGCTAAGACACTAGAACTAAACTCTGGTCCTCAAGCTTGCAAAACCGCAGCGCTATTGAGATAATGACAAAGCTGGTGACCTTGTTGGGTGATAGGGAAAGGGCACTCTGTGAAGGAAACTAACCCTGACACAGAGAATCAAATACAAGTACCATCTGTCTTGTAGAATCTAAAATGTTATACACACACACACACACACACACACACACCCTGAGCTGGATGCCTCCAAAAGTAAAAGATTGGTAAATAGTTAGGAACGTTAATTGACACCATCAGTACACAGCCTATGTATTTCCTGAAATATTGTGCCATACCCTACAAATATTCATAATTAATGTTAATTGAGAGAAATAGTTTTATAAAGAAGAAATGTTTAGATTGGTTCTGGCTGCACAGCATCCAAGCCAGGCTTGGAACGCTGGTCTGCCCCTATTTGGACAGTGCCCAGCCAGGCCACTGGGTCTCACGTGGGACTTTTCCAGCGCTCACACGGGGGAGTGAGATGGGGGCTGGGGGGGGGTGGTCTAACCACAAGCTTTATATCTGAAAATGGCAGATGGAAACAGAAACACGGGGAGAATTGTCAGTCTTGAGCAGAAAGTTAGAGCGCTAGAGCACAGAAGAAAACGTTCGGAAGTGGGCGGGTGTGTGTTTAAAAAAAAAAAAATGGGTGGGAACCTCATGGCCAAGTTGTAGGAAAAAAAAGTTGAAGTGTGCCTATCTTGGGGCGGAGCCCCTCCCTTCTGCTGGCCGGCGGAGCGGGAGCCCCAGGTACAACCCAGAGGCAGGGTCCAGGAGCTGGGGTCCCCCGCCGCCGCAGTGTGCCCACCGCGTGTCTCCCCGCTGAGTGACGATGAGCAGTCCCCAGAGCATGCCGCCTCCCACGACCCATGGTGAGTACCGGGACTGTCCCGGGTCCCCGCCTGACCCGGGTCGCGCTGTGGCGCACAGAGCGCGCGGGGTCCGAGCCCGCGAACCGCAGGCCAGGCGCCCTGGCCCGGTGGCTGTCCCCCACCCAAAGAGGCCACCAGCCCCGCGGCGGCGCGCTTTTTCTTTGTGTGGGGCTTGAGAAGGGTCCGGGACCCGAGGGAGGGAGAGGCCGAGACTTCAGCAACCAGGCACCCACACACACACCCCACCCCAAGGCAAGTGGCCGCGGGAACTCTGGCCAACTCCGGAAAAACTCCAAAAATCTCCAACAGTTCTTTCTGGCCCACTGGCCCTGGGACAGGCACAGACTTTGTGGGATCTGCTCTCCTTGACTCTTTGGGATTATGAAACAACAAACAAACAAAAGCGACTATCTTTTTAAACGCTTTAACTTCTTGGTGACAGGAGCCATGAGTCTCCGATGAGTCTCCGGATGTAGGAAACATTGATGGGCCTCTCTGTGCCCTGGTCTCTGCTTTGGTTACTTTGGGGCTTTTGAAATCTAAAGTGCTGTTTCTAAAAGAACACAGCTGTTTATCCATTTTACCCCTCACCTAAGAGAGAATTTACCCAGAGCCTACATGGTGTTCTCTAACACTATAGTAAGTCAATAAGGGATTACAGAGACCTTTTTATGTAACTCGGGGCTAGTTTGTGGATTAGACCAGGCCATGTAGTCAAAGATGACTTTAAACTTCTGACCCTCCTGCCTTCACTTCCAAAGTATTGTGATTACAGGTATGTGGCGACACTGAGAGTTTATGCCGCACTAAAGCGGGAACTCAGGTCTCCATGCATGCTAGGCAAGCATGCTATCAACTGAACTACACCCCTGGTCTGCCACCACTCTTTGATAAGGCCTATGGCACCCTCTCGGTGCCCCTGTCTTATTTTGGATAGGTACCTTATTTTGATGGTTTGTGACTGTGTGCCCATCCATGGCTGTGACTGTGTGCCTATCCACGTCACCAGTACATGCTGTCCTGCATGCTGCCCATATTGGGATCATCTCACACATCTCTCAGCTCTGATTTCAGCGTCCACGAAGTGAGGGATCTTCATAGAATATTTCTCATTAGATGCAAGAATGAGATGCATATACATGCATGAGCGTCAAGGCTGAGATGTAGCAGGTGTTCACAAATGTCTAGCACTTCAAGGCGAACTTCATCAGAGCACGGACTGCAGGAATCATATGCATTTATTTCAGTCTGTGACTGACTTGTATTCTTGTGTGTGAATGCACAAACACGTGTGTTCAGTTTTAGACCTTGCTTGGCCAACAGCTGCAAGCACCTCACTTCTGGGACTGATGGGGTTACAGCTCTTGCCCATATAGTTCTCCAGATTACTGTCCCCACTGGATTGTGGCAGGGTCCCTGCTATGGGAGACCCCTGGAGCCCTATTTCTTGCTGCTAACTCAGACAGGGTGTGTCTGTATCCTGTCTCTATGACAAAGTTGTAGCTATTCAGTGCCTGAGGTCAAAGTGGAGAAAATTGTCAGGTCAGCCTGGACCCAGCAGAGTTTAGGGCTCCTTCTAGGCCTGATTATCACCGTTACCAGCAAGTTATGCATGGGCAGTCTGGTGACTTTCCCTTGGCTGAAAGGGGTCACTGCTTAGCGTAGAGAAGCCAGGTTTGGCAGCTTTATATAGAATTTGCTGTCGCTGGCAGAGGCAGAGAGGGTAACCAGAAGTGCCAAATGAAATTACATCTCAACCCTTGTGCAATCTCTCTAGATACTGGGGACATTAGGAGTCTCGTGGGGCTGGCACAGTAAGCAGCTAGATCTTTCCCAGGGGACCCTTGTTGGGCAAGTATTTTAGAGGCTTGCAAAACACTCTGGGAAGCAGAGGGCTATGGGGTAAGAGGCATTCTGTGGTGTGTGTGTGTGTGTGTGTGTGTGTGTGTGTGTGTGTGTGTGTGTGTAAAAGGTTAAGAAAACCAAGTGGGTTTATTGCTGGATAATTGGAGCCATCTTTGTACATGGAATTTTACCTGTGTGTGATGGTAAGAGCTCAGGATAAAGTGCCCTATACCAAGTTTTAATCTGTGAGACAAATACTGTGTGTGTTTAAAATATTCTTAAATTTTTAGAAACAAACAAACAAAAATATTCTTAGAAACTTTCCTCCTGAAGGTCCTGACAGGTGTGTGTGTGTGTGTGTGTGTGTGTGTATGTGTGTGTGTGTGTGTGTGTACATGTATGAGTGTGCAGATGTACCTATTTGTGCTGACACACCTGCAGGCCCACAGGCAGCCTCAAATATCATTTCTCGTTTTTTTTTTTTTTTTTTTTTTTTTTTTTTTTTTTTTTTTCACCTTCTGTTTCAGGCAGAGTCTCTCACTGTCCTGGAACTCACTGAGTAGGCTAGGCTGACTTGCCAGTGAGCTCCAGAATCTACTTGTCTCTATTTCCCCAGCACTGGGGTTACAAATATATACCACTACACCAGCATTTTCACATGGGTCCTAGTGATCAAACTCGGTTCTCCCTTGTTTAGCAAGTAGTTTATGGACTGAGCTATCTCTCCAGTCCTACACCAGTTTCTAATGTCAATGACCATTTGTGAGGACAGCAAATCACCCACAGGCTTGCTCACTCTCCCCATCTCAGCTGAATTGATGGATAGGAAATGTGGTCACTTTGGAGTATGCCTCTCTAATTGCAAGAGACTCTGAGCACGTTTTATGGCTGATAAGGCATGCTATTACTTTTAGGGGAAGTGCCCGCCAGAGCCTAGTCCATCCATCTATCTATCTGTCCTTGTGTGGTGTCAGACCTGGGCGTTCACTGACTTTGGGGGGAATCCCAATATCTCAGCGCCTCAGCTTTCTCTTTCGTTGGTGGGAATATCAACCAACTGCATGATATCCACTTGGGGAACAGAAATGACCTGGAGCCATGCCTAGTGGTGGTTGTTTAGGAGAAAGCAAGCCTGGTTTGCAGATGTGGGTCCCCTCAGCAGTCTCCCAACAGCAGGTGGCAAAGCTATTACTTCTGGCTTTTACTAGTATAACAATAATATCAGTGCTTTTAGGTCAGGGCCTGGTGTGGGCCTTGCCTGGATCACTCCAGCATGCTTGCAGTAATGGGTATTTGGCAGAAGAAATGATGGAGGATCCAGAAGGACTGCTGGTTCAGGCTTCCAACATGCTAAGTACAAACCAGGCTCGTGATGGGGCCTGTCAGACATAGACAGCCGAGATCCACCTGAGTGGGTGTCAATGCACTAAAATGCCTGTTGCCATTGAGCATGTGCAAGGCAAGGTGTTCTGCTTTCTGTGACAGCTCCTCAGTCAGGCCTGTGTTCCAAATATGATCCATGACCACCTACTAACACTGTCTCTCTCTTCCTGGGGTCAGACCTGCCCCACTCTACCTGTAGCCTTCCCCGATGGCCCTTATGCATCTGCCCATGACATCTGCCTTTCCAGCTTCACCCCTCCTAACAACCTGTATCCAGCTCCTAGATGTCTGGGTTACCCTCCCCTGAACACTATCAGGAGCTTGTTTATGCAGTCCAACTCATTAAAAAAAAAAATTCCCCAGCCTTGGAAGTCATCCACCAAACAAACCTACAGTGGGTCCTGCATTTGCCCCTTCTCAAGAATCTGACCTCCCCAGTGGCTCTGTGCCCACATTCTCCCCACGCCGGTCTCCTGCTGAGGGCCTGGCATAAAGAAGTGTTAAGTGAGCCAGCCATTCAGAAACAGGTGGTAACTATATAGGCCACATTAAAGCTCAAAGGTGGCACCATTCCAGGGCCAAAGGCTAGAAAGGTCTTTGAGAAGTCAGTCACCCCTATAGCTCCCAGGACAGAACTTGACCTATACTGAAAGGCCAGTAGCTGAGACGCTGATATGAGTAGAGTCAAGGCCAAGGGCATGGCATGCTAAGAACACAACGGCTGAATCCAGCTCTTACCTCCTCCTCCCCCATGACCTCTCAGCCTGGCCTGGTGGTTCCTTTAGATCCTTATATCATCTGACCTTCTGGGGGAGTTCTGACCACTGCCCTCAGTTTTATAAATTTTAATTTTTGTACATTCTTCTAAAACAATGTTTTTTGTACAACCCTTTAGCCCATGGTAGAAACAGACAATGGGCCTCTTTCCTGCCTGCTGGCTAGAGCCCAGCCCAAGACTGGATTCCATCTGGGGGTAGGTGGGGATTGGACAAGGCCTCACACCAGCTGCTAGAAAGCCCTGTGTGCAGCTGCTTCCATGCCACAGGGAGCCCCCAAGCTTGGGAATAGGCTTACTGTCACCTTGACCTCTAACCCTGAGTTCTTTCTCTTGCCTTGATACCCAATACCCTTGCCTCTATCACCTCCCATCCATTTCTCTCCCCTTCTCCCTCCCTCTATCCCTCCCCCTCCCTCCCTAGGAGTATATACCAGCAGTTCAGATGCATGCATAGCATGTGTGTATGTAGAGGTCAGAGGACAATGTAGGGTGTTGCTCTTCACTTTCCACCTGTTTGAGACAGAGTCTTTCTTGCTGTTCACCAGTTCCTAAGCCATACTAACTGACCCAAGAGCTTCTGGGAATGCTCCTGTCTCTGCCTCCATCTCCCTGTAGCCTCAGTGGAGTTGTAGGTGCCTACACTGCTACTTCTGACATTTGTGGCTTTGACATAGGCTCTGGGGGTCATGGGGACACACTGAAGCCCTCTTCCCGGCCCCTCAGTGACACTGTTTGCTGACACTTTTGTGTAGTCTTTGCTTATCTCCCTCTGCATTAAGTCACACACTCCTTCTCTTATGCTGCTGATTCCTTTGCAGGGCCAAGAGAAGGCACTTCTATTTGAGGTCACTGCTGTGATGCACAGTGCTGCCCAGCTAACCCCTTCTGCCCTGGCACACACTCATGCCTCGACTCTGCATCATGGTGGTGCTAATAGGCAGTTTCCACAGGGAGCCGTCAACTAAACTCCACCTGCCTTCCTCCTTCGTGGGCA